TTTTCTTTGCTAGTTTCGTTATTGTAAATAAAAAAAGAACCATTTTTTACCATTCGTTTAATAATGTTTACGTGTGTTTGGGTTTGACTCAATTCGTCAAAAGCGTAAACACCTATAAAATAATCTTTCAAAAAGGGTTCATTATTAAAATAACTAAACAAAGATTCGTTAGTACACATTTATTCTTCTTTTTCTAAACTAAAAAAACTTGAAATAAATAATGTTACAATAGCGTGTAAAATATTAACAAATAATGTTTTTTTATCGGTCTTTTATGATTCCTTCAATGTTTCTTTTAACAGATTTCTTTTTTAAAACACCATCTAGTTTTTTTATGATAGTTGAAGCGGTAGGTAATATTTTTGTTGTAAAAGTATCAATGAATCCGTCTGTTTGATCTCCTTCAAATGGAACAACAGGTTTAACATCTCTTTCGAGTAAGAAAACTTTAAGTTTAGATTTGTAATAATCAGCTATAACATTTTCGTCAAGATGATCTTTTTTCATAGTGTCAAATTTATTTAAATGAAATTGACATAGTTGTGGCTGGTCGAGTAAATTTTAAAATTTACTGTTTTTAAAACATTTTTCAATAGAATAAGAATTTAATGTAATTCTTTTTGAATTTAAAATATTTTCAAGAAAATCATTTGAAGATGCGTCTTTATAATGTTCCTCGTCTATAACTAGAGATGAAGGTGAAGAATTTCCAGATTTGTTTTCTTGAGATTGATACCTTTTGGCTATTTCATCTAATGCGCAAACAGCGCAATTGTTATGAATTTTTTTAATGATGCTGTCAACTCGATTCATTTTTTATTTTTTTTTTAAAATATTCAATTTTTTTTGATTTTATACACTTTTTATTAAATTTTATAAAATTAGACAATTTATTTGGATAAAAAATGATGTTATTTTTTTAGTTTTGGCTGTTGGATATTGAACACATTGTTAATCAGTATAAAAATAATCATGTTTGGGGTAGTAATTGTGTACGAGAGTTATGCTTACGTGAAATAAACGGCGATTGTTATTATCATGCTCAAGTGTGGCCGTGTGCTAATTTTGAATCAATTATTCAAAAATATCAAAATACTTTCAAATATTGTTTAAATTTTATACATGGTTTGAAATATTATCCATCAATGGAAGCAAACTCTGATATTATATTTTGCTCAGATGTGATCAATGTTTTAGAAAATTATTTAAAAAAATATCCTTTAAATGTAGTATTTTATAAAGGAGGCGAAATGGAAATCAAGATCTTAAAAAATTTTCAAAATGTTAAATATTTATTTAAACAAACTGAAATTTCCTAAAGTAGAATTAATGGATTATTTTTACGACGAATTTCCATGCAACAGTCATTTTAAAAACGAATTGTTTACAAAATATCATTTGGATCATTGTGCCAAATACGAAACTAAAATGTTATAAAATTATATAATAGATTTTATATACTATATTAAAGGTTGTAGCAAAAAAAGAGAAGAATATAAAGACTTGGTAAATTTAATACGAGAAAATAATCAATGTGAAGAACTAAACAAAACTAAATATATTTGTTTTGATAATGTATTTTTAGTTAATAAAACGTATTATACAGTTAATATAAAAAAATAAAAAAAATGATTTGTTTTTTTAAAAACATTCCTTTGCGGTTTATATAATACATATTAAAATGTTCAGCTTTATGAATAGGTTTATCGTTAACAATCTCTTGTTTAATAACATCGTAGAGTCGATTTTCTCGTCTAGTTAAAATTTTCGAAATGGTAAAATTTCTTTTAAAAAAATAAAACAAATCAGCATAAGGAAACATTTCGATAATTGATTTTTCATAAAAATTGCATTAATTAAACGATTTGTATATGTAGACTTTATCGTTCATAGTTTTTACTTTTTCAACTTTGAAATAGTTATAAATGGGCGACGGTGTATAAAGAGTATAAAATCCGTTATGAAATAATTTATCATTGTACGAAAAGACTAATCTTTGTAAACAAGGAAGGATACTCTTCCCGCAAAATTAAACTGTTACGCTTTAATAAATCATATTCGTATGAATGATTTTCGATTAAATAAGGAAACAAAAAATAATATTGTAATGATAATTTAATTTTATTTTTCCAAAAGGTGCATTTGTTGTCAATAGTGCTACGATAATATTTCTTGTATATTTTTATAAAATGATCAGTTTTGCGTTTCAACATTAAGTATCTCTGTGTAAAATTGCTATCTTCTGTGTACACATTTTGAAATTCTTTGTTTTTTTCTGTACATCTTAAAAAATCAGTGTTGAATAATTTACAAAAATTATACATGTCTGATTTCCATTTAGATCCTTGTTCATGAAATTGAAATAATTACGCGTAGTTTTTTCAAATAAATTTTGATGATTTTGATAATCTTTGATGATAAAACTAAAATACAAATCAATATATTCTTCTTCTGGTAAAAACAGTTGTAAATTCCATTTAGTTAAATATTCGTTTATAATAATTTCCCAATCTTCATAACTGTTTTTCAAATGATGAAATTCTTGTAACATAGGATGAAGTTTGTTGTCTGGATAAAACAACTTTATTGCTTTTTTAAAGATTGTTCAACCTGCTTGCTAGCCATTTTTTTTTTGAAATGATATATAGAAAATTTTGATTTGTATTTATATTTTTTTACTAATCTATATGACTTCATATTAAAACCTTATAAGGAAATAAAAAACATGTTTTTTTTATAATAACTGGTTTTTTTATTAAAATTCAAAATAGAAATACAGGTTTTTTAAAAAATAAAGAAAGTTTATTCGTCATCATTTTTTTCGTCTTTAATTTCGTGTTGTTTGATTTTTTATACTCTTTACTTTCTTGTGCAGCTAAATCTTGTGCAGCTCTTTTCATATTTTGATTAAAAGATCTTGTTTGCCCGCTTTTAAGTAAAGTGTTAATCATAACAGGTTCTACAGAAGATTGTCTATTGTATTCTGTATAATAAATTTCTTCGTCTTCTTTCAACATTCGTACGTTAAAAGTGCTAGTAGGTTGTGATTTTAATACTTTGTGTTTGCTATAAGCATAATTATATCCGCTATTTTGTATTTCTTCAATTTTTCCTAACATAGATTGTAAAAGTTTTTTATTTAATTTGCTTAGAGTTGTAATTAAAATAGCATTAAATGTAATTTCCCCTTCGCCAGTTTTGTTTTTGAATCGGTTGTCTTCTTTGTTTAATTTCATTTCCGCTCTATACAAATAATCATATGCATCTTCTGCAAGGGAACATTGTTTTCGAATAGATGCTGGTAACAATATAACTTCTTCTTTGCTTAGGTTGGAATAAACCAATTCTTTTTTTAAAAAATTAAATTGTGCTACGGGTTTTACGGGAACTTTAGAATATTGATTTGCTTTTAAATCTTTTTCGTTTGCCAAATCAATATGCCACAATGTAGCAGCTGCCATATCACCGTATTTTAAATAATTTTGCATAAGATTGCAATAATTAACTTGAATTTTGTTCTCCATTTTATTGTAATGTATTTTTAACTGTTGTAAAGTTGTTGAATGATTTTAAAATGAAAATTTTTTTTTGTTTATATATTCTATTTTAACAATAAAAAAACAAAAAACAAGATCAAAACAAGTTTATATAAAAAAATTGTCAACGTGTCATTTTAATTTTTTATGATATCATATTTTTACTTTAAAAGGTAATACAATAGAAAAAATGTTAATTGTTACTAAATATAGATTTTTATTGTGTTTGTTCTGTATAAAAGGGTCAAGTTTTTATTTCAGAATCACTTCAAAGCAAGATGAGTTTAGAAAGGTTTAATAGTGTTAATAAAATAGCAAATAATGAATATATTAGTTCATATACAAAAATGATTGAATTACAAGAAGAATGTTCAGAATTTATAAAAAAGGAAAATTATCTTACTCAAGAAATAATCAATTTATTAATTGAAATTGAAAAAGAGAAAAAACTTTGTTTTAGAAATCTAAATAAAGATTCGTCGATTCGTTATTATAAAATATCAAAATATTTATGGAAAAATCTGGAATCAGGAAAGTCAATTTCAAAAGAAGAAGAAGCAAATTATTTACCATTTACAGAATTAGAAATAAAAAAATTGGATAAAGACAAATTAGCCTATTTTATATGTCAAGAATGTCAGAAGATAAATCCCAGTTTGCACAATTGTTTTTGGTGTGAAGATAGAATGTGCTATTTATGTTTATTAAATCATTCACTACAAACAATGATAAAATTTGACACAAACATTTGTAAATTTAATTGTTAATTTGTAATATAATTATTTTTGTATTTGTTTTCAGATTAGTAAAAAAATGCCATATGATTTGAATGATTATTGCGATTTTATTGAATATTTGAATGATTGTTATGATAATTGTTTTAGATTTTAAAATGCTAAAATGTTTACAGATATGATGGAACGATATTTTCAATTTAACAAAGTGAACAAGTTTACTTTAATGGAAATGAAAAACAGAGCTCAGTTTTTTAGATTATGTCATAGAAATAATGTTATAGAAACATAAAACAATAGTTTGATTTTTATCAAAATGAACAGAAATATATGCCAACGTATGCTACAATTATTATTTTGGACAAGATAACAGAAAAATTTTCTGATGTTCAATTTATTGATTTTTATAATCGTTGGCATACTATTAATTCCAATCACTCATTATTTAATCAAACGTTATTTGAATATTGTTTTACGGATAATCTTGTTAGTTTTAATGATAAAATATTTGATGAAAAACATAAGTGTTGGTTGTCTATTGCAAATCAAAAAATGAATTTATTTTTAAACGTAAATTAAAATTTATTTTTTATGGTAATTTGTAATAAAATTATTTTTGTATTTTTTTCAGATTAGTAAAAAAAAAATAAACAAAAGTAAAGAATTACAAGAAGCTTTGGATCATTTAACAGATTTAACATTATATAAAATAAGAACAAGTAATTACAAAATGAATGATTCTTGTAGTTTATTGAATATAGATCAAGATGGTATTAAGATTGAAAGAGCTATTAAAAAAATCAAAGATGAAACAAATGTTAGAAAAGATTTGAAAAAAGAGTTTTACGACGTTCGTGATTATTTAGATTTATGTAAAACTATGAACGTTATGCTACAAAATAAATTATTTCATTATGAACGAATGTTGCAAAATAATGAACAATTTATAAAATGTTATTATTGTCAAATTTATTATTTAAAAAGTGATGTTTATTATTATCCTAACGACTTTTTTCATTGTTATTGTCCAACATGTAAACTATTATATGGTAGTTAATAAAATTAATTTTTTTTATAGATGAAAACAGTAAAAATAATAGATACTAAAGGTTGGTCTTCATATGCTACCAAAGGAAGTGCTGCTTTTAATTTACGTAGTACCGAAAAAAAAAATATTACCGTATCAACGTATATTAATTTCTACTGGTGTTTTCATATCACAAATGGATCGCGATCTTCAAGGTTGGATTACATACAAGTCTGGTTTAGCTATACATAACGGTATAACAGTTTTGAATTCACCTGGAATTATCGATTCTGATTATAGAGGCGAAATTCATGTTATACTTTAAAATTCGTCTATTGAAGCATATACTGTTAGTGTAGGACAATCTATTGCACAAATGACTTTTGTACCTATTTGTTTTGCAAAAAGAATTTCATGGACTGTAGATTAAAATAAAAATAGTCAAATGGAAGTACAATCCATGTTGTCTGATGAAGAAAGAAAGGATGGTTTTAATAAGGACTTTAATATTTTTTTATATAATTTTTTTTGTAATTATTTTTTAGATGTGTAATAAATTTATTAAAATGGTTAAGCAAGTTATTAATAATATAGAGAACGGTGAAAAAAATTTGATAAAAGATGTGGAAAATGTAAAACTAATTGAAAAAGACAACAATTGTAAATTTATTGTTTATAATGGTGATCAGTGTCAAAGTGATCAATGTAAAATTTGAATGGCCGAAAAAAGGAACTATATCATTATTGGAAGGGAATGACAATAAAACTGATTTCTGTTATCAAAAACAAGATGCAAGTGATAAACAAATAAAAATTAAAAAATCTAATTTAAATGAAGAAATAAAAGAAGAATTAAGAAATTTAGATGTTAGAGTTAGTATTCTTGAAGAACCAACTGGTTTACCTGACGGTCAAAAGATCTTTGTGATTAAAGATATAGTGAAACGAATGAATTTTAATTCGAATGGTTATTATTCATATTATTATTCTGCACCGTTTTTTTTTAAAAATTATAAAATGTCAATGAGAATTAATTTCAATGTTGAATTTAAATGATGAAATGATACATGGCGACTATATTAGTATATTTGTTGTTTTAATGTCTCACATTTATGATGCTGTTTTAAAATGGCTGTTTAGTAATAAAAAAGGAACTATATCATTATTGGGAGGGAAAAAATTTAAAAAATCGTTTATAATCAATGACAGTGTTTATTTTCAATGACCTTATAAAGATCAAGTGAATCCTGCTTTTGGATTTAGAAGTTTTATAAAAAAAAATGATCTTTTAAATTATATTGTAGAAAATTCTCTTTTTATTAAATGTAAAATTAATTAATTTTTTGTATTTGTTTTTGTAATCTTTTTTAGGTAACTAATAAAAAATGTTGTATAACATGATAGCAATATTAAAAGAAAAAGATGAAGATTTGGCTGATCAATGTGACAAGTTGGTCGATTTTTTAAAAGGAATACATAATGAATATTCTATTGAAGATATAAAAAAATTCAATTCTTCTGTTAGTGATAATTTGAATAGCGATAAACATAAATATATATAGGATAAAAGTACTCTTAATTTATATTTGAAAGTATGTGCAAAGTTGATTATCAAATGTAATAAATCTATTAATCGTTTACAAAATCAAATAAAAAAAGAAAAAGAATATCAAGAGGAAAGAAATGATTCGTTTATTGAATTCAAAAAAGATGCAGACGATTGGCCGTGTTGTGCTAAAAAACAAAAATTAGAAAATTATGTATACGAATTTCGATATCCGACAAAAACAGAACTAGTTAAAATACTAAAAAGAAAAATACGTCGCGAATTATTTTGTTTAGTTGATAAAATAGAGTTGATATTAATTTCTGATTCTTAATTATTTTGTAATATGTTTTTATTAAAATAATTTTTTTAGATGATAAAGATAATAAAAAATGTTAAAAAATCAATTCAAAGATGAACATATTGAAGAATTGCAACAATTACAACTATTTGCTGTTAGCGAAAGTTCAAATCGTGATCAATACAAATGTGTTAAAGAAGCTTTTAAAAAATTTGATAGAGATGTGGATATGATCAAGTTTGAACATAATGTATCTGTTGAAGGACTTCAATTTTTACATTTATATACCAAGATTGTATTAGATTTGTATCATCAGTATACAATTTGTATACAATTAACAAATTGTAAAGAATTACTTGAAAAAAAGATAAATGTAATGAATAGAATAGGAAAATTGTTAAGGGAGTTGTTACATTATGATTTCGAAAAATATCGTAATTTATTATCTTTGAAATAAATTTTTTTAGCTAATGAATGTTATTATTGTAATAATCTTTATTAATTTGAAATTAAAGAAAAACATGACAAAGATCTTCAAATATTTGAAAGATTTATACAAATTAATACTGGCATACAAATAAACACCGATGAGTATGTTGACGATTCAGAAATAAATTTAGAACATAAAAAAGCATACAAAAGTTTAATAGAAATTCTTTTAGAATCAAATATTCACGTAAAAAATTTCGATATCAAACTATAGCTAATTATTTTGTTACTAGTTTGAAGGAAGTATTTTGGACAGCTTAATCTTTATCTAGAGAGAAATGTAATAAAAAATACAAACTAATTTGATTCGGATAAAAACTATGAATGAACTTTGTAATAAAGGAATAATAATATCAGAAGATATAATTTAAAAATATAATTACTGTGTATGTACTGTGTACATATGTATGTACTGTGTACATATGTATGTACTGTGTACATAAAAGTTTTTTGAAATTTAAAAATAAATTAAAAATAATATGATAGAATGTTTAAATTTGTATACTTGTTGTCCTTATTGTGAATATAATAAAATATGTCAGTATTGTAAATATACATAAGTTAATATACACAACATAAAGTTAATTTTTTATAGATGATAACAGAAGCTAAACTAAGTAATATTTTGGAATTGTTAGAAATAGATGCCATTTCTATTCGTAATACATATTGTTTGCAATTTGTATCTATGGAGTACATGTTAAACGAATTATGCAAAAAAATGGATTGTGAATTTAAAGACAAATATAATTTGGCTTCATTGATATCAACAAATAAAAGACAAGTACCAATGGAAATATCTAGTTTTGTATTAATTTTAGTTTTATCTAAATTTAAAAAAGGTGAAATTCCAACTGATGAGTTTTTTGAATTTTATAATTTTTTTAAAAGTTATCATGACAAAGAAAAATTTATTTGCCTATTAAATGAAAAAATTGAAACTAGCACGAAATGGTATTATGATAAACGAAAGTTGACTGAATTAAAAATCAAAGACGTTATGAAAACTTTTGGAGATCGAAATAGTGTTGAATTTTCAGTTCCTGATTCACTTACTACGATGAATTTTACTTTATCAGATCTGTACAAAAAAGCTTTAGCATATAAAGTTTTATATTTGTGGAAAATGTAAAATTATTAAAAATGCTAATCAACTTGAAAAACTTAATGTTCCAATTCCAAAAAATTCTAAACTAAATGTTCCAATAGATTGAATAGATTTTTTTTATTTTCAATTTCCTCATAATTATGTAATTTTATTTTTGTTAAAAGTAATGTTGACAAATTTTCCAGATTATATAAAGACAAAGTTTTTTATACGTTTTATTTGTTTTTTGAAAATTGTAATAAGAATTTAATTATTGATCAAGTTAATTTAAAAGTGTATGATTATATAAACAAACTTTTTTATTATTAAAAAGATTATTTTTTTTAGATGGAATTTACAGAAATGATATTAAATTGTGTAATGGAATCTTTAAAAAAAATTTGTGATAAAGAAAATTGGACAGTGGCAAAATTACAAGCTAATTATTTAAGATATAACGCAGATTGTACTTTAGGAAACGTTTCTGAAATGGAAAATATTTTTGAAGAAACAAATAGCTTTATTAACAATTATCGTGTTGTTGTGTTAATGATTTTACAACATATAAGACGAAATTTTCATGTTTATTTAAATGTAGACTTTAACATGTTTTATCAATTTCATGAAAATATGAGCGAATCAATAAAAAAAATGGATTAAAGAAATACAAATGTATATTGATCTATGCATAAGTTTTAGATATTATTATGAAGAAGATTTGAACGAAGAAGATTTTTTATGATTTGTTATATTAATATAATTAATATTTTAGATAAAAAATATAAAATATGGATATGCGAAGAAAATATGTACAAGATAAATCATTTAAAAAAATATTAATTGAAAAACATTGTGAAGAAGTTACAAATGTATTATCGTTTACATTGAATGAAATGAGTAAAGAAATAGATTTGTTAATAAAAATAAAAAACGATAGAAAAAATCAACCAAAAAAAGTAATTTTTGGACTGACGAAGAACGAAATGATATCAATTATAATGATGTTTCATAAATTTATTATATTATATATGTAATTTTAATTTTTTTTGTATTCTTAATTTTTTTGTATTTGTTTTTTAGAAAAATAAAAAAAATGACTATCTGCTAAAGAAAAATTGGCTTTTCAATGGTTTGATGAAGGATTTTTTTATTACTGGTAGTGCTGGATGTGGTAAAAGTTATATACTTGATGCTATTGCTTCTAGCGATCAAATATTTAATAATATTGCAGTAACAGCTAGTACAGGAAAAGCGGCTCATCAAATTAAAGGTATGACTGCACAGTTTTGCAGGTATTGAAATAGGTACAAAATCTGTCGATTATTATTACAAACACATGCAAGTAGATGTTTTAGAAAGATAGAGAAACACACACGTTTTGATTATTGATGAAATTTCAATGCTTAACGCAGAAACCTTTGATTTATTACATAATTTAGCATGCAAAATAAATCAATGCAATGAAGAATTGTTTGGTGGGATACAAGTGTTATTACTTGCGGTGATTTCCGTCAACTGCCACCTGTATAAGGTGAATATGTTTTTAAGTCTGCATTATGGAAAAAATACATGTTTAATGTTATCGAACTTACTAAATCTTTTAGACAAGAAAATATTGAATTTTTTAACGCTTTAAACGAAATACGAATTACAAAAGTTTCTGATAAAACGGTCGATTTAATAATGACAAGACATTATGAAGTTGATCATAATATAAATTCAAATTTCATACGATTGTTTTTTACAAATATGGAAGTTGAATTTTATAACTTGCGTCAATTAATGAGTATTCCTTCTGATGAGCGACGGTTTCATTCTGAAGATGTTATTAAAAATTCAAAAGTAAATCCGTTGTTTCAAATACCTCTTAGTATAAACATTAAAATTGGTGCTCTAGTCATG